ACGTGAATAGCTACTGGGGACCCCCCCAGTGACGTGAATAGCTACTGGGGACCCCCCCAGTGACGTGAATAGCTACTGGGGACCCCCCCAAGTAACGTCATTAGCTATTGGGGACCCCCCCAGTGACTGAATAGCTACTGGGGAACCCCCTTGGGGACATGAATAGCTACTGGGGACCCCCCCAAGTAACGTCATTAGCTATTGGGGAACCCCCTTGGGGACATGAATAGCTACTGGGGACCCCCCCAAGTAACGTCATTAGCTATTGGGGAACCCCCTTGGGGACATGAATAGCTACTGGGGACCCCCCCAAGTAACGTCATTAGCTATTGGGGACCCCCCCAGTGACTGAATAGCTACTGGGGAACCCCCTTGGGGACATGAATAGCTACTGGGGACCCCCCCAAGTAACGTCATTAGCTATTGGGGAACCCCCTTGGGGACATGAATAGCTACTGGGGACCCCCCCAAGTAACGTCATTAGCTATTGGGGAACCCCCTTGGGGACATGAATAGCTACTGGGGACCCCCCCAAGTAACGTCATTAGCTATTGGGGACCCCCCCAGTGACTGAATAGCTACTGGGGAACCCCCTTGGGGACATGAATAGCTACTGGGGACCCCCCCAAGTAACGTCATTAGCTATTGGGGAACCCCCTTGGGGACATGAATAGCTACTGGGGACCCCCCCAAGTAACGTCATTAGCTATTGGGGAACCCCCTTGGGGACATGAATAGCTACTGGAAAAAAAGGCAGCCCTGGTCCAGTGAGACTCTCCCCTGCGCCTGTGAAGAGCCTTACTCTTCTGCTCCCCCCTCCCCGAAACCTCCTGGGGCGAAGCCTCCATCCTCATTACGAATCTGGCCACATGCTGATACCGTCTTCAATGGGTTGGATCTGGGTGTACAGCAGGGGGCTCAAACTCAATTTACCTTCGGGCCAGGGCCTGTCCTTAAAGCCTCCTAGTGAGCCAGCGGGTACCCCTCTCTGACCGGGCCTGGGCGTGTGTGTTTGTCCATGTGTTCTTCACCCTTCCCCGGTCTGCTGGCCCCTGCGCTCCCCTGTGTCTTCCCACCTGCTGCCCCAAGGCAATTTAAGAGCCCCCTTGGGGGAAGGGTAGCACCACCACTCTGAGCCACTGCTGTCAATTCCCTGTGGCCTGAGGGAGATATGCGAAGAGCTGTCCCATCATTAGGATGATTCGGGGTGGTCTTCCCAGGCCTTGCACTTTGGTGGGGTCCTGTGATGGTCACTCCAACCATTCTGTGGACAGGATGGTCCCCAATACTCAGGTTAGTCTGTGGGGCCTGGGTGGGCCAGTGTTGTCAGCGGTGGTTGGAGCCCCCCTCATTCACCATAGCAGTGCGAGCTGCGGAAAAGCAGAACTACACAGCAGCCTGCTCTGACTCCCATCTCCCAAGGCAGCCTGGGCTGGGGCTGAGGCATTCTACTTCTGGCCACTGTGGTGAAAAAGCAAACACACTAGCCTGGAAGATGATGGCAGAGAGAAATTTTAGTTTTATTATTTCTAATAGGGGTGTTAAATATTGACTAATTGAATAGTCGATGCATTTTACATCGACTATTTGATTAGTCGATAGCGTGTCTCTGCCTTTGAAGTGTAGCAAAAGCCCTAGGGAGCCCAACTTCCAAACAAAATAACACATTTTAATTGTCTTTGCCAGTTTCCTCAGCTGAGTTCTGAAAGATGACCAGTATCTGTAAATGTGTATGTAAAAAACCAGCTCTTAGGATATTACTATTGGTTGTGGCTTAACTCGTAGATCAAGGGTTTTCAAAGTTGGGTTGTGGGCCCATCCGCATAAGTTGCTGGCAGGCCACGAGATGTTTTGTTTTTTTTAGTGTCCATAAGCATGGAGCCTCGTAGCTCCCATTGACTGTTTTGCCGTTTCCAGTCAAGGGGAGTTGCGGAAAGCAGCAGCCCAACGCGCACAGCTCCCCGTGGCTGCAAATAGTGATCCAAAGCCAATGGGAGCTGCAAGGCTCTGTGCCTATGGATGCTAAGATAAACAAAATATCTCACAGCTCAGCAGCGACTTACCTGCGCAGGCCTGTGACCCAACTTTGAAAACTCATGCTTTTGCCTACCGCAGAACCCCATTTATCCAATCTAATTGGGACTGAGACCTGATTGGATAATCAGCAATCCAGATAAACTGAAGAATGGGAAAGTCTAATGCTGCAGTGCCAGGTAGTAGCCACAAGAAAGACTGCCCCCTTCTGGACCTTTGTGCACTGATTATCAGTACAGACAGCCAGATAATGGAAGGTCAGAGTTCTGTTATAGTTCTAGGTTGACTTTAATGACATTGTGATGCTTGGAACAGATGAATCCATAATTGAAAAAACATTCACATAGGAAAATAAACACTGAGGGAGTCTTGATCACTAGGGATACTGGAGGGGGAGATAGTCTGAACACAGAACTGGGAGCCAGGGACTTTAGAATTCTAATGGTGCTTCAATAGGTCTCTCACTAGCCCTGGTTAATTCACTTAACCTTTTTCTGCCTCGCTTTCCCCATCTGTACAATGGATGTACTTGTCTATCTCTCAGAACTGCTGTGAACATGCATGACTTCTATAGCACTATAAAGTTGGTGTGATCATGGCAGTCACAGCTTTCACTGCAATGCTTTCTCTTGAGTAATGGACTCTCACTCTGGAGCTATGTTATCTGAATCAGGAACTGAAGTTCTTTCTGCACTTGGGTCCTCTGCTTTTTGCCAGCCAGGTGGAGCATTGTGGGGGGGAGGAGGAAGCAGTCTTTTTCAACCTCTCACCATCAAGCTGTGGTGATGAGCACCATGGGGGGGAAGAGGGTGTAGGAAAGCAGAAGCAAAGTTCATTTAGCAGGGCACACACACACCAAAAATCCCCAAACTGGTTTCATACTCTTTCTGTGGACCAGAATTACAGTGCCTCTTAGCTAGAAGTGGAGTCTAACTTTCAGAACTGTGTAGGTCTCTAGCCAATGAAGCTAGGTTTTCTGATTGGATCAGACAGTCTCCCTCTCTTTATTTAAGATCCATGGAAGCTAATTTGCTGCAATTTCTGACTAGAGTTTAATCAGAATATCACTGTATTTCCTTCTTCAAATAGAGTGAGCAAGGTACATAAGACAAACTCAAGTTTCAGAATCCCTTTGGAGAAACAGTACAGTTAATCATGAAAAAGATTAGTTGTCTGTCTTTTCACTACACACACAATCTGTTTCTGTCATGATTAATGAACCAATGAAGAAAAAATGCAATAAATACAAGTTTGAGACAGGGCAGCTGAAATATTATGCTTTGTGAAGCATTAATTACAATGTAACCTAATAACTCCTACATTTTTAAATAGAAAGGCCTGTAGAGTTGATGATTTTTTTTTTTGGTTCAATAAAAAATAACAAATGGTGATATGATTAAAAAAGGAACAAATGTTAGGTGATAAATACAAATTTAAAAACAGAAGGTTGTCCTCCAAATAGCATGAAATTAAACATTGCTATGCAAGTGTTGCATCTGTTACTGCATTATTTTGTATAGCCATGAATTAAAAGTAATGCCGAATGCAGATTGAAATCCTGCAAAGATATAACCTGTGCTTTCAACAGCAATAAAATGTAGCTTCAATTTTGCATTTTTTTTCATGAATTACATTGAGATAGCTGGCAGCCAGATGCCAGTGCTTGACCTTGCGTAGCTTTGCTATAGCACTGCATGATATTGCTGTAGGAAAGGTGTTCCGGGTTCGTGTTAACTGTAAACCTGTAGGGCAGTGATGATACAAGTTAAAGATTTAAGGGATTTTTTTTACTGGTGGAAAAACACCCTAAAATCCTATTTATTATAAACTTTGAATAATTTCCTCTTATTCAAATTGTAATGATATATTCCATTCTACATTCTAAGGGTATGTTTACACTGCAGAGTTTTTCCAGAAAAAAACGGCCGTTTTTCTGGGAAAAACTACACTTGCGTTGACACTGCAATTGCGTTCTTTCGACAAAGGCTCTTTCAAGCAGGGGGAATGGGTGGGCTTGAGAAGCAACATCAGGAAAAGTGTTTTGGGTTGTCACTACTGTTGCCTACCTTTTTTTATGTTTATGCCTGCTACCTATGACTGTGTATTAGGGATGTAAGCGGCTAGTCAACTACCCAATAAGCCTAGGCTAACCGATAAGCTTAGGTTTAATGGGTAGTTGAGTCACTACTTGACTAGTTGCTTCCCTCCCCCTCTTGCTGCTTCTTGTATCAGAGGCAGCAAGTGGCGGGGAGCAGGAGCCAGTGCTGGGGGGAGCCGGCTTAAGAGCTGATTCCTCCCAGCATCATCTCCATGGCCCACAAGTCATTTTGTTTACCATTGCCCGTGCATGGGGTTGCCATATTCTGCTGGATTTTGTCCAGATTGTTTCTTTCCTACTGGTGTTACAGAAGTGGCACACGCTTAAAATAAGGGCATATGAGGAGAGGTGCATCCTGATTGCACACAATATTGTGAGAGCCATACACTCCCTCTGCATCTAGTCAAAGTGCTGCTATGGTTCCATCAGCACACTCCGCAAGTTCTGGGTATACAGATGCTGTTAGCAGAACTACCCTAATCTGGGATACTGTCTTGGTTAAGACAGTCTTGCTGACCACTGAGCTGGAGGGCCACTCATGTGGGCCACTCACTAGTCTAGGTTGCCCCTCAGTGTTGTAGAGCCCAAGACCCCTGCAAGTTCTTCATTAGTTATATCCCCCATTGCTGCATAGTCAGCTACAGTTATTGTTTTATGTTCAGTGCCAAATGCACACTGTGAACACAAAAAATATGTATTTTTCCTTTAATCTGTTACTTTAATCGTAAGTATTTCTTGCAATAAGGAACAAATATACAATTGACTATGCTTCTTCACAACTTTTAGGTTGTAAACTCTGCTGCAGGGCTATCCTTTGTATCTTGAACACGTGCTGAGCAAGCATTTGATCAGCACTTAATATGTAATTTGATTTAAAGTCTTGAAAATTGTTTTCCCCCTATTATAGAAACATGGCAAGTCCAAGAACAAGAAAAGTTCTTAAAGAAGTCAGAGTGCAAGATGAAAACAATGTAAGAAGTTACATATACGCTCTCACATATATTGTTTGAAGCATTTAATTGAGCAGCAATAGATCACTTGCAGCCATTTCAGAAAAGTGATTTTGTTCTCTAGAGATATTTTATTAAAGGCATTAGCATACCCAGTAAATGTTAAAGTATAGATGTGGATACATATATACTTTCACTGAACTGTATTACAATAAGATAGATAAACTATTAAGTATTGGGCATAACTCCTTTGAGTGGTTCTAATGATTCAGTAATCTGCTCGTGGTTCGTCAGCCAAACCTTCAGAGAATTTTGTTTTGGGACATTGCATATTTTAAGAATAGAAACTTTCTATTTAAAGCATTTTGCTTTTCTAGTCTAATAAAACAAACACAATATTCTTGTCAGCACACTACAATATTTATTCTAATTTGCCTGTGAAAGTCCTGTATGCCCTAAGGATTTTTAATTCTATTTGTGGGGAGGGATAGCTCAGTGGTTTGAGCATTGGCCTGCTAAACCCAGGGCTGTGAGTTCAGTCTTTGAGGGGGCCATTTAGGGATCTGGGGCAAATGTGTTAGGGATGGTACTTGGTCCTGCTGTGAGGGTAGGGGACTGGACTTGATGACCTTTTAAGGTCCCTTCCAGTTCTATGAGAGAGGTACATCTCCATATGTTAAACTCTTGTCAGTTCTCCCCCTCAATATGATATGACCAACTGTATTTAAAAGCCTTTGCTGAAGAACTGAAGCTGCTCAGTACACAAGTATATTTATTTTCAAAAAAATGCTTGCTTGAATTAATGCTAGGACCATGCTATGTTGCCATTACATTTGTGAGTGGCTGTCAAATGGTTAGATGACAGGTTTGAATTCATGTTCTTAAGTTTAAAACTTAGATTCTCCCTAATGTAATTCTCCCTAATTCCTTGTAGGTTATTCTTTACTTGTTGGCTTATTTTCTTCCCCTCTCAAAACAATTTTTAAAAAGCATATATTTTGATTATGTATGTTTCGCATGTCCATATTTCATAGTATATGGAGCCCTGAGGGTACAGTATTCAGTTCAGTCTTTCTAGAGATAGAAATATCAGTTTATATTGTATTTTTAAAGTTTGAGTCAGTTAACACGAATGGCTTTGTCTATAAAACATTAAACCCTTAAGGCATTTTCTGAATGATTATGTAATGGAAGTTATATACATTGAGAAGTCTTTAAATACTAACACCTCTTAATTCTGAATTTATTTGCTGCAAGTAGCTTTTTTATGATTTTCTGTAGCTGTACTTTGAAAGTTTTACCTAGAGCAAATTATGACTGAGAGTTATGGACAATTTTTTTCTCTTATAGGTCTGTTTTGAGTGTGGTGCATTTAACCCCCAGTGGGTGAGTGTGACCTATGGAATCTGGATCTGTCTGGAATGCTCAGGAAAACACAGAGGCTTGGGAGTTCACCTCAGGTCAGTGTTGGGAACAAACACAGGCCAGATGATTTACAATTTCCTCTTCAGAAGGGGGGGGGGAAAAAGTCACTGCAAGGACTTTATATCATATATATTAGAGAGTTTGTGTTTGAGTCTGTTTGTTCAAGAACTCCACCTAAACAGTAAGAGCTAGGACCACTTAATTTGGTATGCAGCATCTTCTTATCCTAACTTAAAGCAAGGTCAGGGTTTGGTTGTGCCCAGAAAGCAAGAAGTGCTTGGAATGGGACTGTTTTCCGTAACATGGAAAGGGAGGGGCTGATTGGAGGACAGCGTTGCCGGTGAGTGACCATAGTGGGCTACGAGCACAGAGGACAGCTATACTGCAGAGTGACCACTAGTGGCAACTGCACCAGCAGGAGAGTGGCCAGTGGGGGATGGGGCTTCACTTTACCGGCCACCTCTGCCCCAGATGTGGCTCCCTTCTCACCTTGGAGTCAGTCTGTCCCCCACCCAGGAGATGCTCCATCCAAAGAGAGGCCAGGGCCAGAAACTGTGACCCTGCCCTCCTGGAGGAGATGTCCCTCTGGAGGAGAGGCTGGGAAATGTGTAGCCCCCATCTTTCTCCCCCTGTCCTAAGCTCCCCCACCTGCCCTCATTCCAGCAAACTCCACCCTCTGTGCTCAGCCCCCAGTCCTCATTCCAGCACTCCCAGCTCCCTGCCCTGACTTCTGCACCCGTATCCTGAACCTCCCCCACACTGAACCCAGTGCCTTTTGTTCCCCACCCCCTGCCTTCATTCCAGCACCTTTCACCCACCCCTGTTCTGAGGCTTTGATAGAATATTTAAGCATTAACAATTTGTTTTTCATGTGGAATAATGATTACCAGCATTAATTTATCAACCCAAACAAAGTTAAAGACACTAATTCCAATCATGAAAGCCCTTAGAAGATGTTATTTTAGGTATTATGGTGTAAGACGGATGAATTCTTGAGTACCCAAAGTTCATTCTAAGTGCTCTCCTGAGGGAGTAGTAAACAATAGCAAACAGTATGGAAAAAATATTTTTTTATTAAGTGATTTTTTTATAGGTAATTCAGAATATGGGTTGGTAAATCTGTTTTTTTTTTTTTTTTTTTTTATTTGCATGGTCTGCCTCCTTTTTAAGTGGAACTTGCTGTCACCACCCTGCCGCCAACAGGGAAAACTCATAAAGCTTTTTCACTATACACTAGTGTTCTTCCTCCTGCAGGGTAGGAAGCAATCTCTGTAAAAGTGCAACTGCTATCGGTGGCATTTCTAGAGGCTTAACTTTTCTAGAGGCTTAACTTTTGGTATAGCTGCCAATGAGGTGTTTTCATTTTTGTAATAATATTATAACAGGAGATCATAGCAATAAATAAAAAATGAGGTGTTTCCTCTCTCCTTCTGATTATCAGCTTTGTACGGTCTGTCACTATGGACAAATGGAAGGATATTGAGCTGGAGAAGATGAAGGTTGGTGGTAACGGCAAATTTCGAGAATTTCTGGAGTCTCAGGAAGATTATGATCCTTGTTGGTCAATGCAGGAGAAATACAACAGCAAAGCTGCAGCTCTCTTTAGAGATAAGGTAAATTTAGAGATAAATGAATAATAGCTTGTGCATCATTAATGCCGCCCATCTGAAACTTTTAAAGCACTTGACAAACATTTTAATAAATCTTGCAACATCTTTGTAAAAAGCTGTTGCAGTAAGTTCTGTAATCTGCAAAAAGCTTGTTCTCTAGAAATTTTCATTAATGTTCTTGGTTTTTGTTTGGCCAGGCTCACCAGATTATCAATGGTGAATTTTGTTGTAGTTCAGTTGAAGGTAATAGATCTATGCCTGTTTACACCAGCTTGTAGCAGATTATTTTACCCAAAAGGGCCAGATAAATGGCCACTGCTGCTTTTTTGATGGATCCAAAATATTAAATGAATCTGCCAACAACAAATGGGACCCATAAACAGTGGCAAAATCTATTCCCGCATTGGAAATGTCATTCCAAAAGGAGGCCACATACAATTTTCCAAAATAAAACCCCTTTGAATTTAAATATGCACCTAGAAATTGCAGAGACTTGACCACATGGATTGTACATTTATACTGGTCTGCACCATTGAGATGAGAAGCTGCAGTCTACGCTAGCTGGAGCTCATACACGGTTTTGAAATTGATTTGCCAATGGAAGTGTAGTTGTGCCACTGGGTTTGTGGTCTGGGACACTGCAGCTGGAACATCTCAATAGCTTAGCATTATCTTGTTTCTCATACTGTAGTCCTTACATCTTTACTGTTTGGTGAGACTGGGAAGGGGAGTTGGGTTGGACAGGTCTTTAGCAGGACAGGTCAAGAAGCTAAGATAAAGACATGAGGGAGAACTCTGGAGGAAAGAGCCGAGGGGAGAGTCCAGGCAAAACTGTAGGAACATCTCTAAATAGCCAAAGCCCTGGTTTGGCTGCCTCTGTGGCTGGTCAGTTCCTCCCAGCAGTTTTTCCCCAAGACACCACTGAGAGAGTGTCACCACTTGAATGTTACTGCCTCTACAATGAAGGAGGTCTCCCTTGCAGAGCTGTGGGTCTGTGAGTACTGGGAGGAGGAGGAGCATTAATTACACACCATTTTACCCCCTCCCATCTAGTAGTCCCTACATTGCCAGTGGCTGTGGCTGCTCCAGCTGACTGGTGGCACACTATTGGAGGTTATTTCTACATTTTCATTTTAGTTGAACATTAGAACTTTACCATGTTCTTAACATTCTTTCCTCACCTCCTTTAGGTGGCTACTTTAGCTGAAGGCAAGGAATGGTCTCTTGAAACTTCTCCTGCCAGAAACTGGACCCCACCTCAACCCAAGATGGCTCTGTCTTCAACTCATCGGTATGTATTCTAATTATCCAATTCTCACACAGTTTGATCTCGCCATCAAACATGACAGTTGAGTGTCAGCTGATGCTGTTCTGCTGACAGACTATTTGTCTCCACTGACAGCATTCTTGCTAGAGATGAGATACCTAACATAGGAGTATTTTCATTTCTTTTATCAAGTTATTTTTTTTACTTTCCTATTTCTTTAAAAGCTGTGTCTGAGAGAATAGATGACAAAGACATTTTTAATGGGGAAACTTATTATCTGTTTCAGTTTTGTTTTTCTAGGTATTTACCATTTTACTACTATTACCATGTTTCAACTTCAGTCTCCCTGGTTGACATTTTAATGTCTGGTCATAGCTCAGCAGCTAGCTTAGTGAAGTTGCTCTTCTCTGATTTGGGTAGAACGTGATGGCATGTTAGTTTGACTACCATGTCCTCCCCACTGAATCTTTTTCTTGTATGTCTTTTAGCTAAGAATTTGAACAAGCTTCAAATACTTTGGCCTATAGCAGTGATATCTAAACTTTTTTCAGTGTGGACTGCATCTTGATGCAGATTGTAATTGTATTTACTACAGTCCCTCTCACTGGTGCTTGCATAATTTCCTAATTGGCAGCTACAGTATTTCCTTATATTTAAAATAGGAAAGCCTTTACTGTATTGTAGCTGTCTAGAATTCAGAAAATGCCTTGCCTGTTTTTGCTTTTTTTCCCCCTTCTATCCTCTTCTTCTTTTTCTTCCCTAAATACACTTCACTATGGCTGCATGAACCATCTCCCCTCTGTCATGGTCAGACACCTGTCCCCTCTTCCGCTTTCACCCCTAATAGCCCTTTCCCTTTTGTGGTTTTCAGCTCTCTTCTAGCTGGTCGGTTACAATCCCTGATAGTATTTTGTGTTTCTCTTACTCTGTTTCTGGATCCCTGGTAAAAGTATACCTTCTTTCAGGTGCTTCTGGTTTTTCTTGGCAGCAAAGAACCAGAATTACCTGTACAAGGAACTAGAAACAAGGAGAACTAGCACCTCATGCCTGGCAAGTCATATGATAAACACCAAGTGCTAGCAAACTAAAAGTGATCTAGAGACCACTATTTGTGGACTTGTCTATAGCTTTCATACTCCATGAGTTAAGAGAGACTCATTTGATGGATGTAAAATTCTGATCTGTCTTTGCCACAAGCTCCTGTGCTGAGCAAAGTCATTTGTTTTTATGCTTCATGTAGTTTAACTTCTTAAAAATCCTTTATTTTATTAGTTCAGCTGGACCATCCC